GGGACAGAGCGAAGGGACGCGGCGCGGGGACAGGGACACGGGGGCTGTTGAATATCAACAGTACTAAGGGGGGGACGCGGGTCTAGGCGTAGAGGTCCTCGCGGTCGGCCGAGTAGACCTCGCCCTCCTGCAGCAGCGCGAAGTTGAGGAAGTGCGAGGGCCGGTGCACCTCGTGGTAGAACTCCTTGGGGTTGGCGAGCTGCAGCTCGTACTTCATGTTGGGGTCGTGGCGCACGCCTGGGAAGGGAGGGCAGAGCGGCCGTTTCACCCCCTCAGGAGCTGTAATAGCCCAACTCTTCTTGCCAAGCTCCTACGAACTCAGAGCAGGACCTGTTACTCCCTAGAGTAGCCTCCCTGCAGCCCAGACACAACTTGCAGGTCCTGTTATCATTTCTACTGCCTGACAAAAACAGGGACATTACAAACCAGAAACACCAGAAATCTCATCTGATCTCTAAGAGGTTGCTTTGCAATGCCTAAAACATTCAGAGCTGACATGCCCCTGCAGTATCCCAATGCTAGGATTAAGGGTCATGATGGCCCTAGCTTGTCACTCAGAGGCTTGTCACTTAGAACGTAGTAGCAAACTTCCCTCAAGAGCTGTTTCTTTCTCCCCCTCAAGCAAGACACAGAATGGGCCCGTTGCCTCCCTCCTTGTCCCTCACCCCAGGCAGTCCAGCTCACCCATGAAGTTGTAGTTCCAGGACCCTTGTGCTGGAACCATGAAGAAGCCAAGGAAACGATCCGACAGCAGCATCTGCACCCGCTCATAATGGGAGGGCAGGTAGCCCTTGGGGTTGTTCCCTTTGTCCGTGTTTTGCCTGCCCCACTCGTAGCCGCTCGGAGTCAGTTTGTAGGCTGTCAGTGTGCAGGAGCCTGGGGTAAAACTGAACAGAAAGCAAACAGAGAGGGAGACATCATGTTAATGGGGGAAAGAGGGAGGAAGTCAGAAATGAGAAAACGCTCCTTTTCTCACACATTTGTAGTTTGAGGCTTCACTGTATTCCCAGATGCAGCGCCCTTGACCCACCCCGGGAAGCCTGGGGGGTTCTCCCAGCACTGGGGCAGCCTTGCCACCCCTTACCTGCAGGTAATGATGATGGTCTTCTCCCCATCCCAGGACGGGTTGTCAGCCATGACTTTGGCGTGGGTGGTGACATCTTGTGGTGAGAGCTGAGGGGACTCGTTTGGTTGGGTGTGAATCCAGCCGAGAGGCTCCATTTCCTGAAATAAAGGAGTGTTATTAGAGAAAAATAAAAGACATTTATTAAAAGACTGCTTCAAGCATGGCACAAAGCACACGGGGACTAGAGCTTCTTTTTCATCTGAGCTCGCATCGGGCAGAATTCAGGCTGAGCCTGTGAAGTCTAACATCTGTAACAATACAAGAGGAGGTCTAAAGACACAGGTTATCAAGGCAAACACAGCAGAGCTGTGAGCGTGGGGACAAGAGACCTGCCACCTCTTTTCCTGGAGTGGATTAACATGGAGCAGAAGCTGGACTCACCTTGAGATACTCATGTTGCGGCAGCTGCCCTGGGAGATGCACGGTCTGGTGTGTTCCCCACTGCGGTACCATCACAATGCACCGGATCTCCTTCACTTGGGGGTTATCCGGAGGGCTCACTCCATACAGGTAGCCTGCAATCTAGAAACACAAACTCACACTTTACAAGGCCGTAACAGACCATCCTCTAAGACTTCCTCACCTTCCATGGCAGTGAGGAGTTGGCACCACAAGCTTTTAGTTCCTGAGGCAAGTTACCTGCTAGGCAGCAGGAACGCATTAGAAAACATCCTGGTCTTAGTCAGTTCTAGTAGTTTCTACCCAAGTCAGGAGCCTGCAGAGCCTGGCTAGAATTTAAGTGTGCTCAGCCCTAACACTGGTGCCCACTTGCAGCACAAAGCTCTCCACAGACAACAGCAAGATCAGCCCTGAGAGAGCACCAAGCTCTATAGCCTCCGGACTGTCCAGGACTGGAATGTGCCCGAGCAGTGTGGAGTCCAACTGGAGCAGACTCATTGCACAGGCTCACCTGGGCCCGCAGATCCGAGATGCAGATAAACTTCTTCAAAACATTCTTTGGAAGAATGTAAGTATAGCCTGTTTCCTTTATATCGTCTGATGAAACATAGATGTGGTTTGTTCTCAAGTGGAGGTTGGCAGCAGAAATTGCTCTGTGAAGAGAAGACGATCATTAGAGGGTCCTTCCTTCCTGAGCACTCTGATCTCTTCTACTGTACAACAGCCCTAAACTGCCTTCCTACCTGACTCGCCACTCAGTCTTGGAGGAGAAAGTTTGGGTTTCATAGTTGCTGGTTGTCGAGGTGATTATTTCGTCCCCGTGTTTGTTAACGGTACGGGTCTGTGTGGCTGTCAGTTGAGACTGCTCCTTGGTTTGCTTTTCAATCTCTGCAATCTGCTGCCTCTGCTGGGATGGGGCAGAGATCTCCATGCCCAGGATAATATCTCGGATCTCTGACTGTGTCAGGGATGCAACATTCACACTGAAAGAGAAGAATTTACACAAATCAGCCATTTCAACATAAATTCTGAACCCTTCTCAGCGAGGCACAAGCTCAGAAATAAACTCAGGGCAGCAGGAAAAACAAAACCACAGCATTTTAGGCAGAGGAAGGACCAAATCACATGATGTACAGATTAGAAAAGATACAGTGCAGATATTTTTATCTGCCTTGCTAGAAAGCGGTTAACTTAATAAACAGTTTCCATACAAAGCTGGTAATTCTTTGCCAAAGGCTTCTGAAAACCTTCCACTCTCTCTGAGGAGCCTTCTGAGCAGCTTTCAGAGCAAAAAGGAAAGGCTGGCAGGATTTTTGCAGCAGGTCACTGACTTACTTGTTCTTCTTGCCATAGTCAGCAAGGATCAGATCCTTCAGCTGCACCTCCACTTTGATCCATTCCTCATCTGTCAGGGTCGGCCAGATATGGTGAGGCTCTGTTATGGTCGTCTTGTCTGGTTTCAAAATAACCTTGGCTCGATCATTATTGACATGTAGCGCCCGGAGAATCAGAATGAGACGTGAGAATGCCTTGGAGAGGAATAAAGATGCAAATAGTCAGCAAAAGGACAGTTTGCATACCATGCCCTAGTACTTCTCTGTTTCAGCACACCAACACTGCATGAGAAGCCTAAGAGAAATCAATCTGAAGGAAAGCCCAGGCAGGTCCAGGTCGAATGCTAGGAGCAGGGCTTCCTGAGCAAAGCCTGGGGAGGGATCTCCAAACCCTTGGCTCTCCTTTCATACACCAGTGGCAAGGCCAAATGCAGACTAGACCTGCTGTCCTTACCGTGTAGGAAGAGATGGTTTTCAGCCAGTCATCATAGAGGTTGAAGAGAACCATCTGGGGTTCAGTAGCCTTCAAGATGAGATCACCAAACTTTTCCACCTTCAGACAGGCCTGGAAGGGCAGCTGCAACTCCGAGCCTTTGATCACAATATTGGGGAAATCCAGCAAGTGCACCTGGAGTTTGAGAAGCAGAATTAACGCACACCTTTCTCAAAACACTGTTCCCTCACAGGAACACAGAGCTGTTCTGCAATCTTCTGAAGACTTTATAGTGCCTGGCAACAGTATCTGAATGGCTACCTCAAGTGGGTCCAACAT